AGAGAGAGAGAGAGAGAGGGGGATAGGAGAAGGGAGAGAAGGGTCTTTCGGTTTATTCTACAACTTGGAAACAGTCATGAAAAGACAGTTAATGGAGATTCTCTTAGTTTCAACATCTCAAAATCTAACTCATAGGAAATCAAAAGTTATTCATAAAAAGCTGGGTTTTTTTTACGGGCGGCGTATACCCACCATATTCCATCACATCGTAGTAACACGACGAGGCAGACTTTGCCATGACATGCAGAGAATATGAGTTCGTCTCCCGTTTGGGGAGGTTTAAAAAAAAATGAATGTCTTCGTTTGTCTGACAGCGCGTTACATCCCTCTCAGCCTGGGTTGGCCCTGAAAGGCAGGGCCGTAGCAGACCACTTCCTAAATGACTTAAATAGTGTCAATGGGGGCGTGAACATGTACAATACTTTCTATTTCACTTACGACAAGACAGACAATCTTTGAACCCTCAGCTCCTGAGCCTTAAATGGGCTATACCTTGGTCTCTGAGCAATTTTATTGAGTTTTAGGTGTAGTTTTCTACTGCTCATTTTTGTGTTGATTTTTTACTGTTTAAGTCATTTCTTTATACCAATATCACTATGCTGGTGTATATCGATACCGCTGTTTCGTACGTGTGTTTTTATTTCTGGAAACACGAGTCATATTAAAGTTTAAGGGGGTGTATCAAAGCCATGTTTCGATAAGCAAGGGCATATGCCGCGTTGCGTTCATACAGATACTTTGGTACAGAGGGCTCGAAGGATTAACTTTACAAACGCACCATAGTTGCTGCAACTGTGTGACTGTGCGGCTGTGCGGCCACCTGCTCTTGAGTTATTGCAATAGTATTAAATTAGGTCAAGGAAACACCTTGATGATGACCTCTCATCTTTGCGCCTCGTCATCGACCTATGGTTAACATGTTTTACGTCCCCATCCACACAATCTAGATCATTTAGGAGGCGGACTATCACCCTGCATACCCGGGCTGAGAGGGATACAACATAACAAAAGAAAGATGAAGACACTGGATAAACATACTCCCTACACGGGAATCGACCTGGGGTCTCCCGCAAGGAAAGGTGAAGCGCCTAACCTATACACCATAGACACGGTTCCGGCACGGTTGTGAGTCTAAGCTGGAAGATTACTCGGCCAGTCTTATCTCATAAGTCACTTATTTGCGTACTTTTCTATATCAAAACAAAACAAAACAAAAACAAAAACAAAAACAAAAACAAACAAACAAGCTACCCCCCCCCCCGCGA